AAGAATAGGTCGCGAATTTTTTGAAAGTTTCTTATGTGGGTTATACTTGTACCTGTGTTTAAACTGTTCCCGAACTTACTCAGAATGAACCCAGTTCATTCGTACCAGCCTGGATAGATCACGCGCATCTAAAGAGCTCATCCCTTCAGTGTTTTTCAAAGAGTGTCGTTCCTCCTTATCTTTGTACTCAGCTTTGATGCGAAGTCTCAGGCAAAAGCTGATCACTTTTATTATTCAACGTCAACTTTCCCGTCTTACGGGTATACCATTACTAAAATAGTGTATTCGCTTTCTAATCAAAGGCGATTTGCAAGGCAATCTAGCAGGTGTAAACTCAGGCAACCTCCCTCGCTTGGTGGTGAGACACACTCGTGGCCATTCTTCGATCAAAGCTCGAATCCGTGTGTTTTGTGCGCCACAATCACAAATTTGAAATTTGAAAGATGCAAAAGTCAACTCTGGTTTCAGAAAAAGCAGTCGGAAAGTGAAGCGTCTGATAATCCTCCGGAAGGAGGTACTCCTGAATCGCCTGCACCACCAAAAATTAAAGCCCCAGCTGTAGGTGGAATAGCAGGTATGGTAAAAGATGCTTTTGAGGGGTACAAGACGTTGCCGAAAGAGGCGATCCCATGCGGACATCTACAACGAATCACGCAGTCATTCATAGTGTAGACATTACAAGTTTGTACTAGCTGACCGCGCGGGTTGGAGCCTATCGGTGACATATAGTTTCCTGCCTCTTTTTAGACCAACATTCATATTTGCTGCTTCAGGCACACATGACCCCAATTACCAGACATTAGCTAACATTGGAGGAGATGTTTTTGGAGCCGATAAGAAAGCAGCGGAAGGTGGTGGTGGCCCTGCACCACCGAAACCACCTGCTCAGGGAGGGCAAATGGCTGGTAAGCAAGAAATGAAGAATTTTTCTAATTGCTCATCAACAACATTGTTGTGCATTTACATTTAGTGAAGTTCTTTTGGTTGTTTGCATGGCGCGAGACTATTCGACTTGTTTTGCCGCATCATCGCAAAAAGCTGTATATGCAGACTTTTGCTCAATGATATGCTGTGGCTTATAACTCTGAAATGTTCCGAATACCTTTGAAATTTTGAAAAAACATGATCTCCTTTAAGGCACGTACGATCCCAACTACCAAACATTGGCTGGTATCGGTGGTGATGTCTTTGGTGCTGATAAGAAAGGAGGTGGTGGTGGTGGAGGGGGAGCTCCTCCAGGTGGAGGTCCCAAAGCGCCTGCTGCTGGTGGTCAAATGGCAGGTAAATGATAGCTCCTAGGAACGCACCTCGTTCAAATTTGATCCAGCATTTGTATAGTGAGAACAGTTTCAGATTACGCCAATGTAAAAGAACTTCTATTGAGGTACCTACGATCCAAACTATCAGACTCTCGCCGGCATTGGCGGTGATGTGTTTGGAGCAGACAAGAAAGGCGCTGGAGGCGGTG